CCCCCCAGTTCACTCTCCCTCATGTCTTCCTTTGAATTGTTTTGTTTTTCTCATACAACCTTTCTCGTCGTCTTCTCCCTAACCTTTCTCCTCTCCCCAGTAGGTCATCTCAACATCTCCACAGTGCTGCTTAATAGGGACATTCCACCATGGCCTCAGAAAAGCCCTTGGCAATGATGTGGGAGGAGGTTACATGCCCCATCTGCCTGGATCCCACAGTGGAGCCTGTGAGCATTGAATGTGGTCACAGCTTCTGCCGCGAATGCATCTCTCAGGTGGCAAAAGCTGGGGGTGGCACCTGTCCTACATGCCGGAAGAAGTTCCTGACCAAGAGCTTCCGGCCCAATCTTCAGCTAGCCAATATGGTGGAGAACTTAAGACAAATCAGCCAAAATACCAAGGAGGGCACACAGAAGGAACAATGTGCAGTGCATGGAAAGAGGCTTCACCTCTTCTGCGAGACAGATGGGAAGGCTCTTTGCTGGGTGTGTTCCCAGTCCCGGAAACACCGTGACCACTCCATGATCCCAATTGAGGAGGCTGCTGAGGAGTACCAGGTGAGGCCTTGGCACAGAGGCATGGACAGGTAGAAAGGAGATGGGGTCCTGATGAATGTTCTGTTCCCCAGAGCTGGGGTTGGGAGAGAGTCACCTATAGAGTTGAGGGACAGGAGAAAGGGGGTGTTCCCCATCCTCTATGTCTAATTTAAGGCTCATCACAACTGTCTTATTCCCGGGGAGAAGGGAAGATGCTATGGGAAAATGCTGTAAGGATCATGTTTTCTTGTGGCTTCCTGGTTAATTAGGAATGAGTAGTGCCCCCCACCACCACCCCAACAGTGTGGCTCTTTTCTAAGAAACATGAAGCTTTTTCCAAAGTATTCCCACCCACAAAATTTGTACTCTAATCAGACTCTAGTCCTCCCTCCTTCTCTGCCCTCAGGCTTTTCTGAGAACCATTATGATCTTCCCCCACCTCACATCACACCACCCTCCTTGGTCTGATTGGGCATTAACCTGCTATCTTTCTCTGCAGGAGAAGCTCCAGGAAGCATTAAAGAAACTGAGAAAAGAGCAAGAGTTTGCTGAGAAGTTGGAAATGGATGTTACAATGAAGAGAACAGCCTGGAAGGCAAGAGTCACATCCCAAAAGGAATCTTAGATCAAAAGCCTAGACAGGGTGCAGGGTCCTAGCCTCAAGAAAACCCTAACCATAGCTACACCTGCCTGAAGAGTGATAGAGTCAGTGTATCTCACTCTTCAAGAACCAGCAGTCTTCTAGGTCTCCTGGTAGAGGGAAATAAACAGTGGGGAGCTCAGAGAGAGCTCCCAATCAGACACAAAACTCGAGAGTCTTAGGAAAAGATACTGAGGAAAAAGCCATACCCTAAAGCTCCTGCCCAGTCTTAGGGGATGACCAAACCAGTGCCTTGCTATCTGAGACAGAGCTATCCCAGGAGAGACACGGCTATGAGGAACAGACTTAAGGAAACCACCAAGGCCTGAGGTAGGAAAACCAGTCTGACCAGGTGGTTGCTTGACTGTCTAGATCACTGGTCTAAAGTAGAATGAAGAACTAAAGCTTATTCCGCACTGGTGATATGGAGGTGAGGCAGGTCAGGGATAGAGAAGAATGGAAGGAACTCATGGCCAATAGTCACCAGAAGAGAAAGATTTGGGAACAAGGGAGGGTGAACCAAGCTGTGGTGGCAAAAGGGTCATCCTATGTCATCAGTGACCCTCTAATCACTAGCGCAAGAGGGCAAGCAAAGAGTATCACAGAGAACTTCTTTCCCCTGGACTTAAGAATGGTGCGTGGCACCTGTCTTTGTGAGGTTGTTCGAGTGGGAACAGTGTTACTCCTCAGTAACAGATATGAAGACAAAAGACATGTTTGGGTACTGACTGGGTTTTGAAAGAAGTTGAGGAAAGTCTGATTCCATGGGCTGATGCAACTGTTGTTCTAGGGCAGCTAGTGTGTCCCCCACCAATCCCATTCCCCTCTTAATCCCAGAGCCTCACTCACCCACTTCCCCAGCAAAATCCTGTGCGTGTGTGTGTGTGTGTGTTTATTCCCAGACAGAGCCAGAGTGGTGAGTCTACAGGGAGTAGAAGTGGGTATGGATACCTCCATTCTCCAAGCTTGGGAGATTTTGATTAAAAAAAACACCTTTCTCATTTCAATGACACCAAAGGAGAAGGTTGAGACACACAAATTGAGGATTCACTCAGAGTTCGAGCAGCAGAAAAACTTCTTGGTTGAAGAGGAACAGAGGCAACTGCAGAAGCTAGAGAAGGAAGAGAGGGAACAGCTGAGAATCCTGGGGGAGACGGAGGCCACGCTGGCCCAGCGCTGCCAGGCCCTACAGGAGCTGATCTCAGAGCTGGAGAGGAGAAGCCAGTGCTCAGAGGTGGAGCTGCTGCAGGTGAGACTGGGGAGGGGCCCATACTCTGCACTCATGGAGGAACTGAACAAAAGCCTGACCTCTCTGGGGCTACCATCAGAGCAAACAGAAACCCAGTCCCTGGAATTTTCTTAAATAAAACAAACTGGAATTCAGACCCATGAGTGGTTTGCATTCAAGGCATAGAAAGATGCAGACTTAGGAGGGGTATTCCACACAGCAATTATTTTAAAATGAACATCTCTGGTAAGTCCCTGCTCTAACATGTACCAGGTTCATGACCTTGAAAAAAGTCCTTAATTTTTGGAAGTGTCAGGTTTCTCATATGTTAAATGGATATTACATATCTCAAAGAATTTTTGTGAGGATTAAATGAGAGAATCTACCTAAGGCTCTTTGATGGGTGTCTGGCCATGGGAAGGTTTTCATAAAAAAATAAAAATACTGAACTGGAAATTAAGAGACAGTAGCCCAGCCCCAGCCCTGTCACCAATTCTCTCTATAACTCTGGGTTAAGTCATTTTTTCCTTTCCTAGACCTAATTTCTCCATATGTAAAACAAGGGAGAGGGAATGGACTAAATAACAAGGATTCCCCAAACTTTAGTCATAAATGTGTCACCTTTACACTTTCTGCTACTTCGACGAACTACCTAAGTGATTTTAACAAGTTCTTTTTCTTTAAATTGTCTTTTACCAGAATAAATTTAATTTAAAGGGAAATTTGTCCTAACCAATAGTAGCCAAGAAATCATGTGTTGATACTGTTACTGATATTTCTTCTGTCTCATAAAAATAACAACTGCATATTTTTTTTTTATATTTATTGTTGAAAGTGTTACAGATGTCCCCTTTTTTCCCCCATTGACCCCTTTTACCTCTCATTCGCCATAACTGCATATTCTTAAATAGCACATATCACATGCCAGGCATTGAATCCCTTGTGACAATTGTGATGAGGTGGTGCTCCTATTATCCCATTTTATAGATGAGAAAACTAAGGCACAGAGATGTTAAGAGACTTAGTGAGAGACTAAAGCTAAATACCTTGACCAAGTTTACCCAAATAGTAAGAGATAGAGATAAGATTAAAACAAGTACATAATTTTTTTTTAATTCATTAGTGTATAGTGTACTGAAAATAACCTCATATCCACCAGTGATATGTTTGCCTCACTTTGGGAAACTAGGAACTAGATGGTCTCAAAAGGCCCTTCTGTCGTAACATTCTACAGTTCTTTTCCCGCACCTTTTCTCCATCTCTCATTCAGATGATCATGAAGCCATTTCTTTCAGTTTAGGCAAAAGAAACTGACTGGGTTGGCTTGACCTGGCAGGCTCTCTTCTTCCCTTTACCTAAATTTTGCCTTGGCCCAACATTGAGCCAAGCTTCTAATGCACTTTTGACTAGGCCTAGGAGCCACTCAGTTACGGATAAGGGCTCCCAACCTTGTCAACAGAATATTCTCAGGTGATTTGATTTCACGTACATGAGGGAGCAACATTAACTACCGCACAGGACAGAGCTTTAACTAACCAGCCTTTTCTCTGCAAACAGCTCAAGCCCACAAATGAGACAGCAGTTTCTGCGCATCCTCACTTGGCTATTCTTTCCCTGTGACTGTGTCTGGGCCTCAGCCAGGCTGGGCTGTTTGCTTCTTTCCACTCTCCCCACCCCCTTCCTCTCCCCAATAATCTGGTCTTTCTAATTTGTTTTCTCAGTCCTTAAACTGATGGTCCTTCCCTTGGCTATAGGTTACATGTAGTTACACGTGGGTTTCTGGTTACCCACCAGCATTCACACATCCCTCTGTTCCAGATTGGTCAGAAGTGTCTTTCAGGTCATGGCCCAGAGGGACCAGGCAGAGCAGTGTCCTGTGGACCTCAGGATGGCGTCGCATCACCCACAGGACTGAAGTCTCAGTTGTTACACCAGTGGTTCTGGAACTTACTCTCTGTCTCTTTTTCCCTCAGGAGGTGAAAAGTGTCCTGGAAAGGTAAGGAGAGGTTTTCTTTGTTAAAGGAAGGGGCGGCAGGAAGTGTATTTACCTACATAAAAGATTATTGGGTTAGAAAAACATACACTGAAGTCTCCCCCATCCTCGTTCCTATTCTCAAAGATCCAATCCTCCATAAAATATTTTCTGGTCTCAGAAGGCTCATTAATGGGCATCTCAATTGGTGAGTTGCCCAAAGCAATTGAACTGTAACATCTTCACAAAGTGAAGCCCTGACAAACAGGGAAATTCTGGGAAGTTCTGAGTCTACAGCCCGATGAGACTCCTTTTTTTAAAATCTAACCAGTTACAAACCTCGCAGAAGGAGCCAAGGCGTGGGCGAGACTCCTTGAGGTTCCATAGGAAATGATTCAGTGTATATTAGCACCCTGCCTGTAAAATGAAACCGAATGTGCTTGTGTGGTGACCTCAGGCTGGGAGAGGAGGTGCCGGACTATCCACAAGCTGTAGAGGCCAATGTGACCAGGAGGCCTGGAAAGGGAGTGAATCCTGCCTCCTTCTGCCTCCCCCACCCCCACCCCCTCAGGGATTCTAACACAACAGGTGTTTGTAAATTTATGTTGAATTGAATTATCAGCCGTCCACAAGAGAGGTTATAGCATTAGGGTTTGGGAAGTGTGGGGTAGGAGCTGAAGACAGGGTGTCTAACTCTGTTTCTCCCAGGAGTGAGTCCTGGAAACTGGGAGAGCTGGACATCATCTCCCCAGACCTGCAGAGTGTGTGCCATGTGCCAGGGCTGAAGACAATGCTGAGGACGTGTGGAGGTGAGACAAGCTCCAGGAGAGTAGGACTGGCCTGCTGAGCAGCAATGGGATAACAAGGGTGCAACTATGTCCAGGGTGAGGGAGGGATGTCAGGTCAAAGTAGGTGGGGCAGGAACAGAGCTAGGGAAAGTGGTTTCCTCAGAGGTCTGGGCAAGGGCTAGAATTGGCTGGGGGGTCATTTCCTCAAACAGTGAGGCCCAGGGTCACCCCACCAGCCCACCACCACCACCACAGGTACAGGGTTAGTGAGTCCCCACACATTCTCCCGGCCTGACTGTGGACCTCTCTCTGCAGCACACGTCACCCTGGATCCACACACAGCCAATCCGTGGCTCATCATTTCAGAGGATAAAAGACAAGTGAGGCTTGGAGACACCCAGCAGAAGGTGCCTGAAAATGAGAAGAGATTTGATACTTATCCCATGGTCCTGGGTGCCCAGTGTTTTGACTCTGGAAAATTTTACTGGGAGGTAGATGTGACGGGAAAAGAGGCCTGGGACCTGGGGGTTTGTAGAGACTCTGTGAAGAGGAAGGGGCATTTTATACTCAGCCCCATGAATGGCTTCTGGACAATTTGGCTGTGGAAGAAACAAAAATATGAGGCTGGCACCTGCCCGCAGACTCCCCTCCACCTTTCGGTGCCCCCACACCAAATTGGGATCTTCCTGGATTATGAAGCCAGCACCGTCTCCTTCTACAACATCACTGACCACGGCTCCCTCATCTACACCTTCTCTGAATGTGCCTTCACCGGGCCCCTGCGGCCTTTCTTCAATACTGGTTTCAATGATGGTGGAAGAAATGAGGCCCCTCTGACCATCTGTCCTCTGAGGATGGGATGATGGGGTTCCACTGACTGTTGATGGCTCTCTCTGGACACTGATTCCTCCTTTGTTGATAACCCTCCTCTCACACTGACCCTGCCTTACTTTCCCATGAACTCTAAACTACCTTTGTCTCTGCAGAGGTGTCGGGATACCGGCAAGCCAAGTGTGACAAGGAGGTCACTGAACATCTATGTCAAGTGATCTTCAACATCCATATTCCTACCCTAGATTGCTTATGATTCCCTCCATGAAACAAACTACTTATATTCGGCCCAAACTCACCTGGATCAACTAAAACATGTTCCTGTCTTCTGTATGTGACTTGAGTTTTGTTTTCTCCTCCCCATCTCTAGGCCTTTGCTCAGATCTCTGTTTTATCTTACATAGCTTGCAAAACGGCTTCCCAAGTAAATTGTGCCTCAATCTACCCCATTCAAACCTGGTTCTCATACACATCTGGGATAATCTTTCCATCACACACACATCTGATCATAGGTGGCTTCACATTTATTTTTTTTAAAAGCTGAATTATGCAAGCCTTAGATTTCCAAGTTAAATATCCAGTCTGCTGTGTGCCCCCATTCCCACCAGTATCTCCCAACCACATGTTGTTGATAATGGAGTTTGTTAAAGGGCATATCAATCTAAGTGGAAGTTGTGATGGTTTTTTGATGTGTCAACTTGGCTAGGCTAAGTGCCCCATTTTTCAATCAAACACTAATGCAGATGTTCCTATAAAGGTGTTTGGTAGATGTCATTAAAGTCCATAATCACTTGACTTTAAATAAGGGAGATTGTCCCAGATAAGCTGAATGGGCCAAATTCGATTAGGTGACAGGCCTTAAGAGCAGAATCAAACCTTCCCTGAAGAAGAAGATATTCCTCTTCTAAAGCACAGCTTAAGCTCATGCCCAAGAGTTCACCTTGCCCTTCCTGATGGCCTGTCCTATGGATTTAGAACTTGCCTTGCCAGCCCCCGTAATTGCATAAGTGAATTCCTTGCAATAAATCTCAGTATTTATCTCTTACTAGTTCTGCTTCTCTAGTGGAATCCTGATTGGTATAAAGCCCAAGACTTTATATGAGGTAACAGCATCACCTGGTGACAGCAAAGTTTAGAGTTTAAACTTCTAAGGTTGGAACAATGGAGTTCTACACCTGAGCAATAATAGGCTATGAGAGAACCATTATCCTTCCAGGAAGCCTGATTCCTTATCTAAAATAGAATCTCAGATATGCCCTCAGAACATCTGCTAAATATTTTATGAAAAGTTCAGACACTGTAAAAGATGTTGGTGACCTTGAAAATAGTTTTTTTCACCAAAAAAAAAAAAAGTTTCTATCTTAACACTGGACAGAAAGGAGGTCCTTTGGAGGAAGGATGAAAAGAACAATTCTCAGGTAAGATGACATTACAGGAGCTAAGCCAAAATAAGTTGGCAAAATCAACCAATGCCTTGGTTGATAAACTGGAGGAAGAATATGGAAGAGAGCTCAGTTCTATATGAATGGGGGTGTGCTGAGGTATGGTTGGATTCTGTATGTCAGGATCATAGAGAAATATTTTTAAAAAGAAGGCTGGATTATATAATAAGCTTTTCTGCTTCTCTGTATCTCTGCTTTAAGGTTGGCTAAAGTAAAATGATGGCTTGTTCCCTTCAGTTGATATATTGATGGGAGGAGAATACCATAATGACATAAACTTAAATATTCTCATTTCTCAAAATCTGAATACTTTGGCATATCAGATTACCCTGATATTTGGACAGGTACATTACACAACTGACATATTACCATCTCCTTGATCTCCACCAAAAGGAATTAAGTAGTAGATATTTTATAGTACCTCAGCTTTTATCCCCACCAATAATTACTAACAAGTGATCCAAGTACACACCTTCATTTCACACAAAAATTCTCTTGAGAAATGAGGGAAGATTCTACCAGCATCAATTCCAATTTTCATTAATATTCTCCTTTAAAATTCAAATGAAACCTGTTGATTTTTGTGATCTCCTTTGATTCTATAACTTCCTTTAGAATTAAAAGAGACAGACATTATACCAAATTTTAAAGATAAACAAGCTAAGACAGAAGGAAGTTAAAATTTTTATCCACTGCTTACTCTGTGTCATACAAGATCCTGTTTATACTTTATAGTTTTAGTTCTATCACAGCTGTATGATAAAGGTTTAATCAAAAAATTTAAGGGTTATGGTGCTCCTCCCTTTTTTATTTATGAAAATATGTATTTTATTTCATATTTTCAATTTTTCCAGTTATTTGTGGTATAATTAACAAATAAGCATATATATTTAAGGTATACACTTAAATATGTATGTATACTTTGTGAAATTACCACAATCAAGCTAATTAACAGATTTATTGCCTCACATAGTTACCTTTTGTATATGTGTAATAAGAACACTTAAGATCAGGTCTCTTAGCAAATTTCAAGTATGCAACACTGCATTATTAACTGTAGTCACCATACTGTAATCAGATACCCAGAACTTATTCATCTTATAACTGAAAGTTTGTAGCCTTCAACCAATACCTTCCTATTTCCCCTACCCCTGTGCCCTGGCAACCACCATTCTACTCTCTGTGTCTGAGTTCAACTTTTAGATTCCACATATATGAGAGATCGTACAGTATTTGTCTTTCTCTGTCTGACTTATTTCATTTAGTATAATGTCCTCCAGGTTCATCCATGTTGTCACAAATGAGCACAGTTGTAGTAGACAGGATGAGGTCAGCCACAGCCAGCATGCAGAGGAAGATGTACTTGGGTTCATGGAGGCTGCGTTCAGTAATGATGTTGGAGACAAGGAGGCTATTCCCAAGGACAGAAACAAGGTAGGAAATAAAAAAGGGGAGAGAGGGTCATGTGTGCTGGTCTTCCAGGCCAGGGATGCCCAGCAGAATGAGGAGCAAGTGGCTAGTGCCAGTGTGGTTGGGGGTTGCCATGCCCAGAACAATTTACCTGGGTGTACAGGATTTGGCTGTCACCTCTTCTTTCTTCCTAAAGAGGTGAATTGGATTGGAGTAGGGGAGATGGGAACAGATTATTTTTCACTGGACCAACAGTGGAAAGGGCCCTGGTCAAAAAGTCAGGAAACATGGGTTAAAATGCCTTGCTGGTCTATTAACTTGCCATGTGATCTCAGTAACATTGCTTCTCTGCTCTGGCCCTCTCTTTTGCCACCTTAAAACTAAAATTGGAATGTAAAAATCAAAATCAATGAACAAAACAAAAACAAACTCATAAATACAAAAAACAAACTGAGGGTTGCCAGACAAGAGGGGGTTGGGGGGATGAGTGAAAAAGGTGAAGGGATTAAGAAGTATAAATTGCCAGTTATAAAAATAATCACAGGGATATAGATTAGAGAATCTAGTCAAGATGTAGCATAGAGAATATAATCAATAATATTGTAATAACTGTGGTGTCAGATGGGTACTGGACTCATCGGGTCAATCACTTCATAAGTTACATAAATGTCTAATCACTATGTTGTACACTTGAAATTAATAAAATATTGTAAGTCAACTGTGGTCCTTGTTTGAGCTCTCCCCCCACAAAGCCAGCAGGCAGCACCATATCTAAGAATCAACCTGGCTAACACTGTTAACCCCACCCTGGTGATTCCCTCAGACCCCACCCAACTTTTCAGCCCACCCAAGCCCTTTCCACTGGCTTTTCCATACAAATGGCTGTCTTGGCTCATACTTTGGACTTCCCTAAACTCTCTTAAACAAGCAACATCTGGCCTCAGAGTACCCCGTACCTCTCACTAAGTGTCCCTCAGCCCAGGACTAGAGACAGTCAGCTTTGGCTCATGGCTTGGCCTCTCTTGGGTCCTCCAAGCCCAGTACAAGTAACAGCCATCTGCAGAGAGCTTTGTAGCTCATGTCGAGTAAACCAAGGCAGGGTACGTGTGGTGGCTGACCTGGGCCTATACCTCCTGGAATGCTCCAGAGCCAGCACACCCATTGGACAGCTTCAGTACATGTCAGAGCACCACCCAAACACATCCTCAAGGGGCAAACTCAGGGAGCACCAGAGCCCTGCTGAAGTAAGTCCTGCATAGCTGATTCTCCATAGTGGCCACAATCAGTACTTGCAGCCAATTGGCCTGGGGATAAATCCCTCCCATTGATGTGTCAACAGCAATCAAGGCTCAACTTAAACAGGCTGGTACACACAGCTCACATGAAGGACACGCCTGGATTGCCCAGCTCGGGTAATTGAGGAAACTGTGCCACTGGACCCTACAGGACAATTACTACATAAGGCCACACTATCAAGACCAGGAGACATAGCAGCTCTACCTAAATACATACATAGAAACAAACACAGAGAGGTAGCCAAAATGAGGAGACAAAGAAACATCTCAAACAAAAAAATACAAAACAAAACTCCAAACCAAACAAAATGGAAACAAGCAATCTAACAGATACAGAGTTCAAAACACTGGTTATAAAAGATGCTCAATGAAATTAGGGGAAGAGTATGTAAAATTAGTGAGAAGTTCAATAAACAGATAGAAAACATAAATATGGAGTTTGAAAGAAAAAAAAAAAAGGAACCAGTCAGGAACGAAGAATATATTACAGGGAATAAANTAAAGAAAAAAAAAAGGAACCAGTCAGGAACGAAGAATATATTACAGGGAATAAAGTGGAGTAAATGAAGCCAAGGATCAAATAAGAGATTTGGAAAATAAGGAAGCAGAAAACGCCCAACCAGAAAAGAAAAAAGAATCCAAATAAATGAGGATAGCATAAACAGCCTCTGGGACAACTTCAGGCTTACCAACATTCACATAATGGGGTTATCAGAAAAAGAAGAGAGCAAGAGATTGAAAACCTATGTGAAAAAATAATGATGGAAAATTTTTCTAACCTGGCAAAGGAATTAGACTTACAAGTCCAGGAAGCACAGAAAGTCCCAAACAAGATGAATGCAAAGCGGCACACACCAAGACACATCATAATTGCAATGCCAAAGCTTAAAGACAAACAGAGAATCTTAAAAGCAGCAAGAGAAAAGCAATTAGTTACCTACAAGGGAACTCCCATAAGATCCTCAGCTGATTTCTCAACAGAAACTTTGCAGGCCGGAAGGGATTGGCACAAAATATTTAAAGTGATGAAAAAGCAAGGACCTACAACCAAGATTACTCTACCAAGCAAAGTTATTGAGAATCGAAGGATAAATAAAGAGCTTCCCAGACAGGAAAAAGCTAAAGGAGTTCATCACCACCAAATCAATGTCACAAGAAATATTAAAGAACCTTCTTTAGGAAGAAGAAAATAAAAGATCAAAAATATAATAACAAAATTATAATAAATACATATCCATCAACAATTACTCTAAATGCAAATGGATTAAATGCTCCAATCAAAAGGAAATAGAGGCTGAATGGATAACAAAAGAAGAGCCTTCCAATATGCTGTCTACAATAGACTCACTTCAGATCAAAATACACACAAACTGAAAGTAAAGGGATGGAAAAAGATATTTTTATGAAAATAGAAACAAACAAACATACAAAAATCTGGGTTAGTAGTACTTATACCAGAAAATAGACTTTAAAACAAAGGCTATATAACAAGAGACAAAGAAGAACCCAGCAATTTCACTTTGGGGTATTTATCAGAAGAAACCCAAAGCACTAAATAAAAAATACATATACATCTATATGTTTGTTGCAGCTTTTTTTGCAATTATTAAGATATGGAAGCAACCTAAGTGTCCATCAATAGACAAATGGATAGCCCAGCAGGGGTGGCTCGGTGGTTGAGCGTCAACTCATGAACCAAGAGGTCTCTGGTTTAATTCCCCGTCAGAGCACATGCCTGGGTTGTGGGCTCGATACCCAGTAGGGGGCTTGCAGAAAGCAGCCAATCAATGTTTCTCTCTCATCAGTGTCTCTCTCTATCCCTCTCCCTTCCTTCTCTAAAATTAATAAATAAATATATATATAAACAAATATAAATATATATATAAACAAATATATATATATAAATAAATGTGTGTGTGTATATATATATATTGTGTGTGTGTGTATATATATATATATATATAATAGAAGAAAGAATAAAGAGGTGGTGCATATTCAACGGAATATGACTCAGCCATAAAAAAAGTTTTAAAAAGAATGAAATCTTGCCATCTACAACAACATGGGTGGACCTAAAGGATATTTTGTTGAGTGAAATAAGTCAGACAGGGGAAGACAAATGCTATATGATTTCACTTATACATGCAATCTAAAATATAAAATAAACAAACAAATGGTACAGAAACAGACTCGCAGATACAAAGAACATTTTGAAGGTTGACACACAGGAGGAGGTTGGGTGGATGAGTAAAAAAGGTGACGGATTAAGAAGCATACAAATTGGGACTTACAGAATAGTCACAGGGATGTAAATTACAGCTTGGGGAATAAAGTCAATAATATTATAGTAATTATGTAAGGAGTCAGAAGAGTACTAGATTTATTGGGGTGATCACTTAATACATTATATAATGTCTAATCACTGGGTTGTACAACTGAAACTAACATAATATATATGTCAACTCTAATTGAAAAATAAAAAATTGTTTAAAGTCAAAGAGTAAGCTGATGCATACTGGCCTCTAATATAGCTATATAGTTCTAATGTTATAAATAGTTCACAACAGAGATAACATATGAAACATGTTACCATAAATTCCCACTGCAGAGTAGAGCTACAAAATGATGTCTGAAATTATTTTTAACCAAAAAAAACACTATGTTACTAAAAGGCAAACAAACAAACAAACAAACAAAAACACTTAAAATTCATTAGGAAAAAAGAAAACTCATTAGGAAATTATATGAAAAATAAGATACAAATTTCATTTTAAATTTGTTAAAATCACAAAGAAAACCTTGTAGGACTAAGCATTTTTTAAATAATCTATATATTTCATAGTCAATTTAATTGTGCTGATGTAAATAGGATTAATATTTACTACTTCTCATTAAAACAGAAACAGAAATATTTGGTACAAGGACACTAACAGTTTATCCATTGGAAATAAATATGGGCACACCCAATCCAGGGATGAAGTTGTCTAGGAGGGGTGGTGTTGGCAGGCATGAAGGGCCATAATAACTTGACCCATGTGCATGCGATGGAGGGTTGTTATTGAAAGTACATCTGAGTTCCCTGGGGTTCTGCCTTTCCCTGGAGTCTTCAGGCAAATACTTAAAAATCTCTGCTCCCTGGCACCCAACACTCAGAGACTTCCTTGATTCACCACATTCTAGACTATGAAGACTACATTTGAAGTAGGTGAACAGGTTATTGATGGGGGTAACCTTCTAGGGGGTAAAGAGGAGAGTATAGCACGTAAAGTAAAGGGCTATGGGGCCTAAAGTAAATATTTGAGAATATTAGGCCCTTTGTCTGAAGTTAAATAAGCAGAGTAATATCTAATGCTCTCCAATTTAAAACTCAAGGTGGTTGACTATGTCCTCCTAGGATAGCATCCAAGGTCCTTAATTTGTAATCAGAGACAATATACATTTGTTTCTATTTTTTCCCATTGCATAATTAGGTAAAATCAAATAATTATACAGGATTATAAAATGTTTAAATGCATTAAATATTTATATGACAATAGTCTATCCTTAAACTCAAAATGACTCCATCCCATTTTCCACCTAATTCATCTCTATTCAATGACATTCTATAGTTAAATGGACTGAATCACCCATTCCACTGGGTTCCCATAGTAATTTTTTTTAACACTAACATGTTTGCTTAGCATATTATTTTATTGGCTGTATAAATATCTATCTTCTCTGTAAAACTGTTACCTCGTTAAATACACACACACACACACACACACACACACAGAGACAATACCCTATTTCTTCTCTATTCCTAGTTTTCCTGGCACACTGGTTATGGAAAAGAATCAGATAGGTGCTATAAGGTTTGAGTGCAATCTGAAATTATGACTGTGTCTGTAAACAGAAAGTGGAGTCCCAGGTCATATGCTCCAGATATGACTACCTTAAATCACACTGGTGTCAGCCACACAGTCTTCCACTTGCTGGGCATCCCCGGCCTTGAGGAGCAGCACATGTGGATTTCCATCCCCTTCTGCATTTCCTATGTCATCACCCTGCTTGGGAACAGCCTGCTCATCTTCATTATCTTCACAAAGAGCAGCCTCCATGAACCCATGTACCTCTTCCTCTGCACCCTGGCTGGAACAGACGTTGTCCTCTCCACATGCACAGTACCTCAGTCTTTGGCCATCTTCTGGTTCCGTGCTGGGGAGATCTCTCTGGACCGCTGCATTGCTCAACTCTTCTTCATCCATTCCACCTTCATCTCTGAGTCAGGGATCTTGCTGGTGATGGCATTTGACCGCTACATTGCCATATGCTACCCACTCAGATACACCACTATCCTTACACATGCACTGATTGGGAAAATTGGTGTGACTATCTTTCTGAGAAGTTACTGTACAGTATTCCCCATGATATTTCTTCTGAAAAGACTGACTTTTTGCAGAAGTAACATTCTTCCACACACTGCTTGTGAGCACATTGGGTTGGCCAAATATTCCTGTGATGACATACGAGTAAACATCTGGTATGGGTTTTTTGTCCTAATGTCAACAGTGATCTTAGATATTATGCTAATTTGTGTTTCATATATGCTTATTCTCCGTGCCGTCTTTCGCATCCCTTCCCAAGATGCTCGCCACAAAGCTCTCAACACATGTGGCTCCCATGTCTGTGTCATCATCCTCTTTTATGGGCCTGGCATCTTCTCAGTCCTCACTCAGCGCTTTGGACGCCACATCTCACCCCATATCCATATCCTGGTGGCCAATGTCTGCTTTCTGGCTCCTCCTATGATGAATCCCATCATTTATGGGATCAAGACCAAACAGATCCGGGACCAGGTGACTCATATCTTGTTTTCAAAACAGGTATGACTTTGGGAATGGGAACCAGACTAGTTTTCTCAACATTTCTAGCCATATGCTAAGGTAAGATTTAGAAGCCCTGGTAGGTGAGGGACAGCTGAGACTATATATCTACATAGTCTATAGACTATCTCACTGAGTATATGTCTCTGGAGTAAGTCCACAGGGGGGCTTGGGACACTCATTTCAAAGTCTCTGATCAATAATAAGAGATCAATTTCTTTGTGGCTCAGTGAGTTTTCTCACTCAGTGTCTGATAAATAAACCACTCCTACCCTATAACCCTAGATAGGCATTTGGAAAGAGATGAGTTACTGATAATTGCTGGCTGACTCTCTCCTGGTTTGTTTGATGCCTTCCTGTGGTGAAATGATTCCCACTCCTCTTACCTACATGGGGATGCTGCTCTGCACAGTATTCCCTCTGTCTTCTCTGTCATAAAGCTTTATTCTTTACAGGCTCAGCTCCATCTGTATAATTCTGTTATTGTCCTACAATTTGAAGGAAGGAATGCAGGGAGGGAGGGAAGCGGGCAAAAACCTTTGGCACCCACACCCCCTATGGCCTTTCCTCTGCCTTTCTTTTTCTCCTCCTTCCTCTTCCCCCCCCCCTTCCTCTTTTCAGCTTCCTTCCCTCTCTCTCCATCACAGTAAAAGACCTTAAAAGACTTGTACACATTCAGGATTCAACATTTTTCTTGGTCTCACCCCAGCCAGACAGTTTTCCTGTGCAGTGGCCCAGCAGGTCACAGTAACCTCACAACGCTGACTCCAATGGTCAATAACTCAGTCTACATCCTACACGACACATCAGCACCATCTGACCCAGTGAAACATCCTCTCATTCTAGAAACTCCTCACTCATCCCTCCTTAGACAGTGCATTGGAAATAAATATGTACAAAACACCCACTTTTCAAAATCAAGATATTTACTGCTAATGTTTTACAACAGGTTGCTATATATTTTCTGATGTGTATCTGTGTGCAGGTAAATAAATTTTTTTATTGAAACTATATTCCACCTAGTCTTCTAGAGTGCACCTTTCTCACTTAACAAATCAATGCAGATATAATCTTATACTAAAGCTATACACCTCTGCAGGCATTTTTATCACCTCTTCACTGTATTCATACAACGATGTGCCGTATATAATTTAGACAAGCATACTCTTTTTGGAATCATTTCTCTTGTATCATTGTAACTATTTATTTACTCTTTATTTCCTAGTTGAGAGCAGACTCAGTATTCTATAAATGTTACTTCCCTAGTGTCCATTATGTCAAGTGAAAGAGGAAACGCCAAATCAAGGTGCTTAAAATACATTTCTTTGTAGACTGTAAAACTATGAAATTATCACTTTAGTTACTATTAGTCATACCCATTAAACTAAATAGTTCATCATTAGGAAATGTGTTGTCATTTAAAGAGATTTTCACATATTATGAATTGTGCAGGAATTTCATGCATGACTTATTTAACGTAATGTTATATAGCAAGTATTTTCCTTTGGCATCAAAAACATTGCATAAATATTAAGTTGAATAAGTGTACAATATACCATAATGTGGTGTACTCTGTTTTAATGAACTAGTACATTCTCGTTAAATATTGACATCCAAGTAATTGACAGTATAAATAAAACAGTTAAGAACATAAGCATTAAGACATATTTGCTATATTTTGTGTCCCTGTAGTATACTATAGGGAAGAGTCTGAATATGTTTACTGCATCTATGAGTGCCTGTGTCTTGGCCAGGTTGAATATGTGATTTTTTTATGTGCAAAATGTTTTTAAGTGCACTTTTTTAGAAATGCTAGAAAATTTGTGTTTTCCAAAATTTGAATGAAATCCAATAGCAATAAGAAAGTTAGGGTACTATTTTTTATTATATTTTTCTATGTTTTAAACATACAACTAAATATAGAAAAATTCACTCTTTTTAGTTTACATTTCTGTGAGTTTCAATAAACATGCAACTACCACAATAAAGATATAGAATTTTCCATCACCCTCTCAAGAACACCCAAGTAAACCTTTTAGTCAACTACTCCCACCAGCCTTTTATCTGTTTTCTGGGCTTACAATTTTGCCTGTTCAAAATGTCTTGCAAATGGAGTTACACTGTATGTTGCCTTTGCAGTCTGGGTTGCTTCACTTAGCAGAACCGTTTGAGATTTATCCACATTGTGCTTGGATTAGTAGCTCATTCCTTTCCATTGCTAGCAGTATTCCGTTGTATGGATGTTCCGGGTCAATTCATCCATCTTCCAGTTGGAGTACATTTGGATTGTTTTCAGGTTCTGAGGATTACAAATAAAGCTATTAAAATTTCATATATTTCATATGAAGTGAAAACTCAATTACACATCATTTGCCTAAAAATCTAAGATCGCCAGATGATAGGATAAGCATATGTTTAGCTTTATTTAAAAATTGCCCAGCCTCTCCAGAGTGCTATATTACTGTGAATTTCCAACAGCAATGTACGAGCTGGCGTTACTCCACATCCTCATCAGAACCTGGTACTATCTTCTTTATAATTTAAGCATTCTAACAGGTTGTTAAAGGTACATCATTGTAGTTTAATTTGCATTTCCGTAAGGATTAGTGTTGTGCAGCAGCTTCACAAGTGCAGGAAGCCAGCCTAGGTTCCTGGCATAACCCAGATACCAGGCATAAGGACGTGGGGAGAAGGGGAATCCTTGTGCACTATTGGTGGGGTGCTAATTGGTAAAACCACTATGGAAAACAGTATGGATGTTCCTCAAAACATTAAAAATAAAACTACCATAAGATCCAGCAATCCCATTTCTGAGTATACATACAAAGAAATCAAAATCAAAACCTTGTGGAGATATCCGTACTCCCATGTTTGTTGTAGCATTATTTACAGTTTCAATATATGGAAAGAGCCCAATTGTCCATCAGGTATGAATGCCAAAGAAGATATGAGAATATATATGTGTGTGTATGTGTGTGTGTATACATATACACATATATATACACATATATATGTATACACACACATACATAATTGAGCCATGAAAGTGAAGAAAATCCTGCTCTTTGTAACAAAGTGAATGAAAGGAGTAACAGGGGGGTATTATGCTAAGTGAAATAAGTAAGATAGAGAAAGGAAAATACTGTGTGGTATCAATTTATGTAGAAAATAAAATAGCCAAACTCAGAAAAACAGAGATTAACATGGTGGTATCCAGGGGCTAAGAGTTGGAGGAAATGAGAAGATGTTGGTCAAAGGGTACAAACTTCCAGTTATAAGATTAACACGTTGTGGGGAACTAATGTACAGCATGGTGACTATAGCTTATAGTACTGTATTATATCCATGGAGGTTTCTAAAAGAGTAGATCTTAAATGTTCTCACCATAAAAAAAAAAAAAGTAATTGTGTGATGGGTTGGAGGTGGGTATCTAAAGCTGTGGTGGTAATCATCTGCAATATATATACTTATCAAATCAACACACTGTGTACCTTAAAATTACACAATGTCAATTATATCTCAATAAAGTTGGGAAAAAGAAGAAAGAAAAAGAATAGGAAAATAACGACGCATGAAAAAAGATACACAACAAATAAATGCCATTGTGTTAAGGACTGGAAAAAACATTTGCTATAAATGATTGCTTCCTGACCATAGTACTTAGGAATAACGACTGAGTATTAGATAATAGTGTTGTGTCAATGTTAAATATCCTGAATTGTGTACTGAACTATGGTCATGTCAGAGGTTCCTGTTCTTAACAAATACATGCTGAATATTGAAAGTGAAAGGCTACGACATCTGCAAATTATTTCAAATGGTTCACCAAGAGAAAAGTGTAGGTGGGTCAGTTGGTTAGAGTGTCATCCCAATACGTCAAGGTTGAGGGTTCAGTCCCCAAGCAGGGCACATATAAGAAACCAATAAATGCATAAATAAGTGGAACAACAAATCAATGTCTCTCTCTCTTTCTCTCTCTCTTTCTTCCTCTCCCCCTTCCTCTCTATCTATAAATTAAATAAATAAATAAAAAGAGAAAGAGTAATAATAATATAATATATAATTTATAACAAGAATAATGAAAGAGAAAAAGCAAAAAGAAAGTGTAGAAAAGTAATAAAAATGGGTAACTATAGATGAAGGCTAAGTGGTTTTCATTTTAATATTCTCGCAACTTTTCGGGACATTTTAATTTTCTTGATATATATATATATATTAGCAATTTATTGAGCTCTTTTATATGTTAAGTGGAAATAGAATTCTGAATCACCTTCTTATATCATTTTGACTAGAATGATATGGTTTGAATACAATGCACAGATAAAAAGATATTTTTAGGCCTAACATTGTTTCTCCTTGACAAATATTTATACATACAGTTATTTGGATTAATTAAATTTAAAAAGATATGAAAATAATATGAAAAGGTGGAGATAAGTTTATCAGAAGCAGAACTGTACTGGATAAGAGGACTGGAAATTAAGTTTAGATCACTTGGTAGCCAAAGGAAAAGGGGATACAGAATGATTTCATAGTTACCTGCATTCACATAAGTAGTGCAAGTAGACTTTTCAAAAATATTCAAGTATTTTCATGGAAATACTTAAAACATTATTATTTCAAATCCCAAAGTTTGAATGACTTGACAAGTGTGGAATAAATTTAATTCCTTTGTCTACATTACAAAGGAACTCTTTTAAAATTATATTGATTCTAAAATTGTACTGACTGAAAACAGGATTACTATTTACTAATTGACATTAAAATAGAAACAGGAATGTTTGGTGTGGTAATGCTAACAATTTATTAGAAATAAGTACATGAGCACAAATAATCAAGGGATGTGTAGAGGAAGCAATGGGATAGCCAGGCTTGAAGAGCCTTACTGACTTAATACCCGTGTGTGGGGATAAAGGAGATGTTGCTGAAAGGACAGCTCTAACTCTGCACTCCCTGGAATAAGAGCTGCCCCTGAGGCTTTCAGGCAAATACATAAAATCTCAGGTCCCTGGCGCCCATCACTCTGATAGTCCTATTGTGACTCACCTCATTCTAGCCCATCAGAACTCTATTTAAAGCAAGTGGGTGATTTTTTTTTTTTATTTCTGTGGGATGAAATTTCAGGCAAGAGCCTTATCTTGACTAGACATTATGGACCACATAGGTGTTGGGAAATATTAGGACCATTATCTAAAGTTAGTAGGCAGAATTGGAGCGACAAAGGCAGTTGTGTGCTAGAGCCACTTGTACTGGCGCATTTGTGCCCATTCCTCACAAACTCCACATTCATGGACATCAGGTTGGTGCCTGGAAAGAAACTGAGGTAGGAGAATGCACACTGTGGAAATGGGCAAATGTTGCAGATCAGGACATTACTTATGTATTTAAAGTATGTGCATTTGAGCTGGGTTGCCAGCACACCACTGAGCCACAGTAAAAAATATGGGCTCTCTCAATTGAACAGAAACAACTCTCTGCAACAGGAGAGGGGGAAGACTCTGGGACTGAGGACCCTCATTAGCTCTCCATGTTCCAAGGAACCCCAAGTCCCTCCTGAGAAGGTTCTACATTGTCCCCAGCCCCTGACTACTGTAAATATCCAAGACATTAAGGAGGCTTCTTCCTGGATACCCTGCACTGATCCTTCAGCACACCCATCCAGTATTTGTCATTTGGTTGTCTTGGTAAACACTTGGAGGAGTTACACTGTGCCATGCTGTGCTGAGATCTGGAACTGCACAGACAAGGAAAACAATTCTGATGTCAGAAAGTTTAAAATCAATAGGGGAAACATTGCCATATGATCAAACATGCTCCTACCCTTGATATAGGTGTTCTGGTGATAAAACTCCTTGTGCAATCAGAGGGAAAGAAATGACTTATGGGGAGAAGATTCGCACAAGTACATTGCTGACACAGTGGGCAGATGGTGAAAGTACCCTGAATAGTGGTGCTTCTCTCAGGAACACAGCAGGAAGAAGCAGGTAAATTCTCCAGGATGCTGACGTTATTTGGACCGGCGTGGGTGAGAGAGAGAGAATTCATGAGGCATTTGAGAAGTTGCTTTAAATTTGATTAATAAACAGGAAACTACTGCCCCAGCTGGTTTGCCTCAGTGGTTAGAGCATCAGCCAGAGGACTGCAGGTTCTCAGGTTTTATTCCAGTCAAGGGCATGTACCCAGGTTGCAGGCTGGATCCCTGGCCCCACAGTGGCTGCACCAGTCTCTCTCACATCAGTGTTTCTCCTTCACTCTCTCTCTCCTTTCCACTCTCTCCAAAAAACAATGGAAAAAATATCTTTGGCTGAGGATTAAAATTTTTTTTTTAAATCTTCAAATCTCACCTATATTCTATATATTATCTATATATTTTTGTATTTTTATACCTTATTTATCTATATGCATTATAACTCTTGATGTCCTCAGAATGGAATAGGATCATGTAAGTACCAAAAGCATCCAGTAATATCAAAGAAAAAATATATAGATAATATATAGATAATTATAGAGCTGTGACAAGACTTATAAGCCTCAAAGTCCTGTTTGGAAAGATTAGTGATGAAAACACCTACTTGCCTATGTTGTCAGAAGCCATGATAATGGGGTATTCATCCCTAACACTGAGATAAAAAAGTAATTTATCCTACCTATTTCACTGTGATAGCAATCCATCAATATAGCAATAATACTAGGGCAAACGGTTGTGTCCTGACATTCTAGTCTTTGTCATCTTTCTCCCTTCCAATCTATATTTTACTGGTTGTCTGGTAATATATCCAAAATGTTCACCAGTTTCTTAACTCATCGTGGCTGACCATTTACTCACAGATTAAGTCCAGGATCTTTCATCTGTATTCTGAGCAAATCTGCTTTGGCTGACACCTCTTCTCCAGTTACCCATATTTACACTTTCACAAATACACAGAAACGAAATCATTTTTAAACACACTTGGCATTCCATGGCAAACATTTCTCCTTAAATTCCCAAAGGACCTAGTTCCATTCTCTACTTGGTAGTCCCAACAACTACTGGCATCCTGAACTATCTTCAAAGGTAAGCCCAAAAATAACTCCTTAAAACCAACACAAATACAGACTTAAGTAACCCTTCCATTGTGTTCCTATATGTATTATTTTAATTTTGTNTATATCCAAAATGTTCACCAGTTTCTTAACTCATCATGGCTGACCATTTACTCACAGATTAAGTCCAGGATCTTTCATCTGCATTTGAGCATATCCCCTTTGTTTGAAATCTTTTCTCCAATTACAGATATTTACACTGCCACAAACACACAGACCCGAAATCATTTTTAAACACACTTGGCATTCCATGGCAAACATTTCTCCTTAAATTCCCAGAGGACCTAGTTCCATTCTCTACTTGGTAGTNTAAATTCCCAAAGGACCTAGTTCCATTCTCTACTTGGTAGTCCCAACAACTACTGGCATCCTGAACTATCTTCAAAGGTAAGCCCAAAAATAACTCCTTAAAACCAACACAAATACAGACTTAAGTAACCCTTCCATTGTGTTCCTATATGTATTATTTTAATTTTGTTCCACAAAGATGTTAATCATTAATTTAACTTAATCATTTAACTTTTTATACTTACAAAAGGGTCTATTTGGTTTATGACATTAATTCTTCATTCAGAAAATCAGATCTTATTTATCTAATATGATGTCCTCAGAATGGAATAGGATCATGTAAGTACCAAAAGCATCTGGTAATATCAAAGAAAAAATATATAGATAATTTTAATTTTCCTCTGTCCCTCTGAATAGGTGGTGAGGCCTTCAAAGATTTGCACATCTATGACCACCTTAAACAACACTGGTGTTAGCCACACAGTCTTCCGCTTGCTGGGCATCCCTGGCCTTGAGGACCAACACATGTGGATTTCCATCCCCTTCTTTATCTCCTACATCATTGCCCTGCTTGGGAACAACCTGCTCATCTTCATTATCCTCATCAAGCGCAGCCTCCATGAACCCATGTACCTCTTCCTCTGCATGCTGGCTGGAGCAGACGTTGTCCTCTCCACGTGCACAGTACCTCAGACTTGGGCCATTTTCTGGTTCCATGCTGGGGAGATCTCCCTGGACCGCTGCATTGCTCAGGTATTCTTCCTCACTTCCACTTTCATGTCTGAGTCAGGGATCTTGCTAGTGATGGCATTTGACCACTACATGGCCAAATGCTACCCAGTGAAATACACCACTATCCTTACACATGCACTGATGGGGGAAATTGGTGTGACTATCTTTCTGAGAAGTTATGGCACAGTTTTTCCTGTAATATTTCTTCTGAAAAGACTGATTTTCTGCGGAAGTAACATCCTCCTAAACACTGCTTGTAAGCACATTGTCTTGGCCAAGTATTCCTGTAATGACATACGAGTAAACATCTGGTATGGGTTTTTTGTCCTAATGTCAACAGCGGTCTTAGATGTTGTGCTAATTTTTGTTTCATATATGCTTATTCTCCACGCTGTCTTCCACATCCCATCCCGAGATGCTCGCCACAAAGCTCTCAACACGTGCGGTGCCCATGTCTGTGTCATCATCCTCTTTTATGGGCCTGGGATCTTCTCAGTTCTCACTCAGCGCTTTGGACGCCACATCCCACTCCATGTTCATGTTCTGCTGGCCAATGTCTACATTCTCATTCCACCTATGTTAAATCCCATCATTTATGGCCTTAAGACCAAGCAGATTAGAGACCAGGTGGTTTGTTGTTTCCAAAACAGAAATGACTTTAATCATTGAAACAAACCTTGTATTTTTCTCAGTAATTCTCACCATGCTTGAGGTTACATTAGTTGTCAGGGTGTGGAGAGATGCACTGGAAACACTAGTCAAATACACAACTCTGTGTCTTCTTGTCTTAGAGCAATTGTATCAGTAATGTGTTGTTGGATGTTTCTTGCAAAGCCTTGAATAAGTCGTTAGATATCAGTTTCTTTGGGGTCTTAGTTAGCGTTTTCATTCATTCAATTCAGAACTAGATCAGTTCACCTCTACTCCTAGCCTGGAGGTTAGAATGCAGTGAAGCGGAGACTGGCCTTCCCTGGAAAATTGTTGAACTATACTTGGGTGTTCTGTGCTTTGATAGGCTGCACTTGTTTTATTCCTCTAATTAGGATGTTTTGCCACCCATTCACCCCTATGTCATGTCTATCTTCATACTTTTGCTTTTAGACAAATTATTATAAAATGCATCCATATATATTCACATATATTCAATTCACCATTCATATAATTTTAGCATAAATGACAAGTGTTCTTATAAATATTTTTTTCTTTTCTCTTTTAAAACACAAACAATAGCAAAAGTTTATTAATGCTTATGTTCATGACATTCTCATGTTGTCAATTTTTTAAAACAAAATATTCAACGTGAGACCAAATAAAGTACACACATGTAAGACTATACTAAGCAAGCATTAAATAGAAAGTACACTAATATCTAACAAATGTTATCTAAAGAGCATACTAGGTTAAATCAATTATGGCACATCTATAGATTATAATATAAAAGACCAGTGAGAGGTAATAATATGGATTTATGTTTGCTGATGGAAATATATTCACATTATATTTTTAAGTGAGACAAGTATGTTCCAGATCTGTTAGTTAAATATGATGCAATTTTTAAATTATATGTTTATCTAAACATCACATCACTCTATGCTAAAATCATATGAATGGTAACTATATTAAGATTATAAAGTACAGGTGATTTTTATAATAATTTTAGTCTGAATTTTCTAATACTTATACAGTGAACATAACTCAAAGAAGAATAAGTTAAAAGTGGTTGGTTTTTTTAATTTTAAAAAAAGTATGGTCTAACATCACTGATCAATATTTCCTTTAGCATAGGAATGCAAGAGATTAATTATTGCAAGTTTTGCTTCTGTGAAAATTTTTTAAATTTTGTCTTCATTTTTGAAATGATAATTTAACGAATATAGAATTTTAAGTTGGCAGAAGTTTTTCAGCATTTTCACATTTTCCACCAAGAAATTTTTACTTCTATCTTTTGTATTAAGAACTGACTTGAAAGTTTACTTTTACTTCTAAGAATGTAATGTACCCTCTATATCTGGATTTTTTTTGTTGGTTGTTTGTTTGTTTTTAAGAACATTTGTAATGTATTCATCTGTGGTTGGTTTGCATACATCTTCTGGGAGTTTTTCTGGCCTTCTTGAATTTTTGGATTTATATCTTTCATCAATTTTGGAATGGTTTCTGTCATTATCTTCTTGAATAATAATTTTGGCCCAGTTTCTCTCTTCTCTCTGGTTGGGACTATAATGATTCTTACGTATATTTTAAATGTGTCTATTATTTGTCTTATGCTCATTTTTTGCCATTCTTTTTCTTCCTTTCACTTCAGTTTCTGTCATTTGTATTAATCTATTTCTCAGTTCACTAATAAAATCTATTGTTTAAACCCAGCCATCAAATGCTTATTTGTAGGTAATAATTTCAATTGTATACTAACATTTGAACACTTTCAAGATATTAACTCCCTAGTATTTCACCAAAAATTCAAGTACCTTGAATATATTTGGCTTATTTTCAACAAAATTCTATAAATCTTGCCTGAGTCGCCTATTAGCCTTCTCTGTCTGTTCTAACTTTTGATCATTGATTATAAGGTCTTACTTCTTTTCAGGTCAAGTAATTTTTTATTTAAAAACACAAACAATCCTAGTATGTATAATGTATATTTTCTTAACACTTTGTTCATATCAAACCTGATCAGGGACAAGTTAAATATAAAATTTTTTAATTTCAATAATCTCTTCTTCACAAAAAAATAAAATAGACCATGGTCAAAGACTCATGAATTATTCTGTTTATGACCATTTTATTCATACTGGCAACCATTTGAAAGAATCCACTGATGGGCTATTTTAAAAGATATTTATATTTTGAAATATATTGTACACACAAAAATATAGCATTGCAGATATCTCAAGATGGCTGCAGAGCAGGTGTAAGCTACACTCACCACCTCCCAGCACCAAACCAGATATACAGCTAAATTATAGAGCAATCAACCTGAATGACTGACTGAAGGACAGCTGAACAGGAGTGTTATATCCAAGAATTTATAAAAGAAGGTACATAGAGACTGGTGAGAAGGGCAGAGAAGTGAAGAGAACCCATGTGTGGTGACTGAGGTGGCAGAGGGATATCTCCACTGCAAAAGCAGCCCCTGAGGAGACTAGCGACTCAGCCTCAAACCAGGACCCCCAGACCAGAGCACCAGGGCCAGGAAGGGGAATCTGCATAGCACCTTGCAGTGAAAATCAGTGGGGGCCCTGTCCATTGGAACAGGAGGGAGTCTGCCAGAACACAAGTTGCTCTCCTAAAGGCTCAGGATACAGAAGCTTGCTCTTGGGAACTCACCCAGGGCTCTGTCAGAGCAAAGGTGACTCAGCGCATAGGAGAGTCATAAAGAGAAGATCTGGGTGTTGTAGCCCCAAAGAGAGATCTGGAAGATCAACTACTGAGGTCACGGTCCAATATCCCATAGCCCCTCTGGCACCATCTTCCCAGACCTGGGCACTCCTATTCTTTTTTGGTTGGTTGGTTGGTTGATTTGTTTTTGTTTTTAGTTTATTGTTGACACTATTACAGATACCCCCCATTTTCACCCCCTTTACCCACCTCTCCCCAGCTCTGGCTCCCCCTTTCTCTGGCCATCACCACACTGTTGTCTGTACCCATGGGCTATGTGTACATGTTCTTTGGTTAATCTCTTCACCTCCTTTCATCGCCTCCCTTATCCCCCTTTCCTATGACTTCTGTCAGCCTGTTCCATGTATCCTTGCCTCTGGGTCTATTATATTCATCAGAGCATAGATATATAGAACAGACTGACAGCTGTCTATTAATAAAATATTTTTAAAAGAAATATACATAAACATGTATAAGATACTTTACACTCAATGTGCCTATAATATTTAGTTGGGTAAATAAAACACAAATGTTAAACACACACACACATATATATCATTGCAATATTAAATTAAGCTTAATATATGTGAAATATTCTTCTTGAATTTTTTGAGGTAACATTGGTTCACAAAACTATACAGGTTTCAAGTATACAACTCAACAAAATATCATCTGCACACTACATCGTGTGCCCATTGCGCAAAGCAAAGCCTTCCCTCCTGATTTATGATCCTTTTGCCACCTCCACCTACCCCCACCCCTCGTTCCCTCTGGCTGTCACCACACTGTTGTCGGTGTCTATGTGTTGTATATATATGTATTTTATTTTGCTTAATCCCTTCACCTTCTTTCATCCAGCCCCCCCCAAACCCTTCACCTCTGACAGCTGTGAGTCTATTCCATGTATCCATACCTCGGTTTTATTTTGTTCGTCACTTTATTTTGTTCATCAGATTCCACAAATAAGTGAAACTGTATGGTATTTGTCTTTATCTAACTGACTTATTTCACTTAGGGTCATACTTTCCAGGTAAAATTTCCCTTTTTTTTAAACAGGGAGTGGTATTCCATTGTGTAAAAGTACCACAGCTTTTTTATCCACTCTTCTATGGATGGGCACTTGGGCTGTTTCAAGATCTTGGCTATTGTAAATAATGCTGCAATGAACATAGGTGTGCATATATTGTTTCAAATTAGTGTTTTGGGTTTCTTCGGATCTATTCCCAGATGTGGAATAGCTGGGTCAAAAGACAGCTCTGTTTTTAATTTTTTGAGGAAACTTCATACTGTTTCCACAGTGGCTGCACCAGTCTGCATTCCCACCAACAGCGCAAAAGGGTTCCTTTTTCTCCACATCCTTGCCAGCACGGCTCATTTGTTGATTTGCTGTTGGTAACCATTCTGACAGGTGTGAGGTGATACCTCATTTGGTTTTAATGTGCATCTCTCTGGTAATTAGTGATGTTGAGCATTTTTCCATATCTCTCTTGGCCATCTGTATGTATTCTTCGAAGAATTGTCTATTTAGGTCTTTTGCTTATTTCTTAATTGGGTTGTTTGTTTTCTTGGTGTTGAGTTGTACAAGTTCTTTGTAATTTTTTAATTTAATCGGTTATCAGATGTATCATTGGCAAATATGTTCTCCCATTCAGTGGGTTGCCTTTTCATTTTGTTGATTTTTTTTTCTGTGCAAAAACTTTTTAGTTTGATGTAGTATCATTTGTTTACTTTTTCCTTTGTTTCCCTTGCCCAAGTGGATATGTCAGCAAAAGTATGTATGAAACATTTCTTTGGGTGCCAAAGGAAATTCTTTTTATGTGACACTCAATAAAAACGTAAGACATAAAAATCATTATATCATATATCAATGTGTGAAAATTTACTTAAAGAACAAAACATTATCNATGGGTATAATATTTCTTCATTATGTGTTTTTAAACAAAGAGATATTATTGAAACGTTAAATNCATTATCTAAAATTCATGATTCTGTGTCATGGGTATAATGTTTCTTCATTATGTGTTTTTAAACAAAGAGATATTATTGAAACGTTAAATATAAAATTTAAACTCTAGAACAAATGAAATTTGAAAAAATAGCAAGTAATGCACTTATCTTAAACTGAGAAAAACTGAGGGAAAAACAAAAGAATAATCCAAAGGAAAGACCAGTGATTTGACTACATGGAAATCAACAAGTGTCAGGGTATCCAACTTCTCAAGACTTTCCACCAACAACTACTATCATATAATTCATTGACCTGTCATCTCATTTATCCTCTTGTTATTTATTCA